CCTGTTTGAGGATTGAGGAGGGTTAGGGTTAAGATACGGTGTTGTCTGTAGTATCTGAATCTTAAAAAGTGGTATTGTCCAAGAAGGTTGTTATTTAAACGTTATGTATAATTTCAAATGAGGCAAGAGTAAAAGCAAATAGGCCCAATATAAATTGCACGGCTCGCTTGCATAATGTACTAATCAAATCGGCGAATTTGAAAGATAAAAACACAGCTTAACACCCTTCTGGATGTATACAAATTATACCCACCATTTTTTTCTGACCAAAGGAAATGAGCCGTGTGATCATAGTTACTTGACCCGTTGTCGTGGAGACAAAACATTCGTCATTTCAAATATTTTGTGACGCAAAAAGTTGTGGGAGAGACAGCGGAATGTCCTCGTGACTTGATCCTACACTGTGTCCAAACTTATTATGCATATGCAAAGTTCAGTGTTAAAATTCCATTGCAAAACACCACTTTTGGTAAAGTTACTGGTTTCAAATACTATATTTTATATGTTCATTAGCAAATGAAATTGAGTACAAACAATTATTTTCTCCAGATCACTATAATATGTCATCTCTTCGCAGTGCTTGTTTTCTACTGTCCAGAGATATTATGCAACACAGTACAAGTGTGCAGTGCAGTCATATTTTATTATTTTCTCCAGATTATAGGTCATTGTAACTTTTTTTTAAATATCAAAAATGAAACTCAACAAACAGAAAATAAACGGTTGCACTGAGCATCCTATTTTATGCTAATAAACGTCACATATCAATATAGCCATCCTGTTTGCTGATGACTTTCAATAGTCTGCTGTCCACTGATTTTGTCAAATTGTTTATTGTTTCCTTCGAAACGTGCTGCTGCTTCCTTAATCGCATCCCACAATGCATCCTTGGAGTTGTATTGCTCCATTAGCATAAATTGTCTGCTTCAACACCGACCAGAGGTTCTCAATCGGATTTAAATCCGGTGAACAAGCAGGCCACTCCATGATCTGTTCCTGCTTGAATCCGTTGCGCTCCATCCAGGCTTTTGTGTAACGGGATGCGTGCGAAGGTGCGTTAACGTGCATGAAAATCAGCAGGTTGCGTTGTCTGGCCGGATGCTTCTTCCACCATGGCATAAAGTTGGCATTAAAAAGATCACATTATCCTTCAGAGTTCAGTTTAACACCGTCCTCAACACGAAATGGTCCAATCATCTGATCTCCAACGACAGCAGCCCAAAACATGACTCCGCCCCAACCTTGTTGTCGACCTAGTTCCTCTGGCCCATCCACCTGGTCCATCCAGTGTTGCTCTCCACTCATCCGTGAAAATAACGCGTGAAAAGTCAATTTTCATATATTTTCCAGCCCAGGAAATGCGTTTGGCTTTTTGGTTTTTGTTGAGAGGTGGTCGTCTTTGAGCCTTTCGAACCTTGGCAACCTCCTGTAAGGTCTTACAGCGTGTGGTTCTGGATACTTTGGGCAGTTTGCATACTTTGAATACCTCTCTGCTGGTTGCTAGAAGATTTCTGGTAACATGACGGCGAATCTGTCTAAGGTGCCGGGCATTATTTTTTTGATATTTTGATTGAGCTTGCATTTTTCGACCACTTTCGCTATTTGCCACAAATGTTTTCACAGTACGGTGATCTCTGGAAAGGCACTTGGCATTATCCAATGTAGATTGGCCCTGATAAAGCAACTGCACAATTTTTTTTGTTTTCCAGCAGGCTGGAGATCACCCTTTTCACCCATCTTTACTGTACAGTGGACTGTTGCATAGTAACTCTGGACAGTGTTTTCTGAAAAAAACCGCACATTTGGACTTGTATCTCATGAGTTACAGACAATGCTTCTCCTATTGCATTTCTCACATGTCCACTGAGGCATGCAGAGCATTATGGAACACGTTGTGTTACTTCAACAGAAACACATACTTGCATAATAAGCTTGGACACATACTTGCATAATAAGTTTGGACACAGCGTATGTTGGCCAGTAAACGGAATTTGCCCAATTTGTTCCCTAATTTGGAGAAGTCACTAGGGAGAGTATTTAATTTTAAATCAACCCTCTAAACCAGTCTTAAATCTGTCTACACTCTCTGTCTAATTTAACAGTTTGGTATGCCTTCATTCTGATGAACGCTGCTGTACTTCAAGTAATTCGTCGAGGGATGCACCCTATCGATGAGCCTTGGGGTCTAGTTCTGTTCCCTGAGGGGGCCCCCGACTCTCTCTCACGGTGTAATGGTATATCAGGTGGATGTTCTCTTTCGTGTCTTTCGACACTTGGCCGTTTAACAATCCACCAGGACGTGATAAAATGCACTTAAATTATTTTCACGTGTTGATTTCAACTAAAAACAATCACTACACAAAATTTCTGAACACGTAAAACCCGAGAGAAATGATTCAAATGTTTTGGACGCCATTGAAATGCCTTCTATTTATGGACACTTGCATGCGTATAATTTGTTGTGTTATACATTGTAGGCCTAAGTATGAAGTAATTTACAAAAACATAAAAAAACAGCATGGCAAGTGTAGTAAATGTTGATTGGTGACGCTTTTGTAAAAGCCTTGGCATTCTGCGGTTCAATAGGGATTGTTTGTGAGAAAAGGCTACCAGTCATGCCGGAGGACACCAAGTTACCACCTAGAAGTAAGTCGTGACCAAACAACTTGTGTACAATGTTGAATAACACATACACCTGTACCTGTATTTCTCGATATCCAGAAGGTTCAGTGTTGATTTTCAAAAACAACATGTCATTGGAACCCACGCTATTTGAAATGCTCGGCGTCCCCTGGGAAAGCAAGGCGGCCAACACCCAGATGTGTTACCCCACAGGAATGTTCGGCTATTCAGAACCAATTGGCTGTGATCACCGAGGACATGCAAGCCTACAGTCAAGAGTCATGACTTGACTGCGAAACGTTTGGTCAAGCGACGCATCAGTCGTCCCTGACAAGGCGGTCGACGTTTTCCTTCAGACAGGCGAAGAGAAAGGTGAATCTTCAGCTGGGGTACTTGACACCATTAACTGAACAACTGTCCTCTGGGGAAGATTCCGGCGGGAATGCTGATGACAAATTGGCAGCGGTAGCAAGGATGAGGAACCACCGAAAAAGTTGAAAATTTTGAACGACCATCAAACACTGAGAAGTTCGAATGCACGCAAGTTAATCGGAAAATCTGAACACTTTGCATGGACCAGATCCACAGGCATAAAACTATAGAAAGAACAACAGCCACTGCTCAAAAGCATCATGCCCATTTTTCGAAGCATGCATGCGGCGCTAACGGCAATCAAAAGGTTTGCATCACAAAACAGAGTGTGACTGGTTAGTCGTAATCGGTTACGCAAGGTACGAGCTAAACCCCCGTCCCAGGAATTCATGAAACCTGTACTGAATCACCAGTTTGTGAGTCTTTGTTCAGCACAGGAGGCCATAAAGCGTCCTCTGTTCGGCAATAACCTCTCCCAGCAATGGACAGACATTCAGGATATTCATAATATGACGTTGGAAGGCGGCGCGTCTATTCCAAGGCAATCTCTTTTGTGTCGAGTTAACTTGTAGGTGGTTTTAAAATTGGATTGACATCTAAAGCATTGATATATTTTACCGTTGTGGTTGCTAATAATGCTCAAAGTGAGTCTGGAAAGATCTTTAATCCAACAGTAGTGCGCCGTACAACCGTTGGTAATGTATAATAGATTGATGAGTTCTTGATTTGAAACGTTTTTAGAAATATAGAGGGGGGAAGTGATCCATTTACATTAAACACCAAGTCATTCTGCGATTCGATTTGTGAAATTTGGGACACAGTCGTGGGAAAGTCAGTGTCTGTAAAGTTTAACCCGTCAGCTGTGTAGCCTACATTGTGGCTCTATCTTCGCTAATTGGATAGTTTGGATTTGTTTCTAAAGTCCAACAGCTACGCATATCGCCCGACATAGGCGTTCGTAATCGTCGTTTTTTTATGTTTCTAACCGCTTTATTATTTTCTATGTATTCGGGTAATTTGATGTAAGGACCACCCATCGGATCATAACGCGTGACGTTGATATAAAACGCCGTACCCATCCCGATTCGTTGTGGGTAAATTGATCTATTTGGTGTAAGAGTCGTTCCTTCTGTTCTTCCAACATGTTCTTGACGTCTTGCTCCTGGAACACCCTGACTTTTGCGCCAAAAAAAAAACAAAAAAAAAACGAACAAAGCAAAAAACAAAACCCCCAAACCGGTGTCTCCTTGATCCGGCCTACTTTTTATAAATTGGACATTGGAATCGTAATTCAGACAACACTTTTGATTCGATTTCCTTTTTGTGTGAAGCAAAAAACTGATCATTGATTCGTTGTTAAAAATACGCGGTCGCAGTTCAGTAGTGCACCCCGTCTGTATAGTCGATATTACGTAATCATTTCAAGCCTCTCGACCAATCAGAACGCTGGATGTGACCTCATTAGCATAATTTGAGGAGCCGGCTCCTCATCG